ATGGCAATGATCGCGGGTGCTGAGCTTCGAGGAGGACCATCCAGGGCTTCAGGAGTCGCTCATTCTCCGAACACACACAAGCCTAACAAATCTTGCCAAAGCAGAAATACCACCTTGCACTAACCGGCTCCGCCTCCTTTGGGTTGCCCAATGCCTACACCTACCCAGTGACGCAGGACTCCACGTTATTTTGTGCAAAAGCCGTGAATTCCACATAGTCTGTGTTGTCTGCGTCCCGGGATGCTGTCCGCCCTTCGCCATTTCCATTCTCCGCAAAAAAACAGCCATCCACCTTACAAAGGAGCGGTTTGTCATCAATGCCACTAGATGACTGACAAACCTCGACGCGTAGCCCTTGCCGCCCTCTACCAGGTACTCTGGTGAAGGAAGATTGTGTCGCCAGGACACTGCGAAGCATAACAGCCATCGTACATGATCGGGATGATCATTAATATACCAAAACGTTTGATAGAAGTCACCAAGTAGTCGGTGGCGCCTAATATTACCACGTGTTACGCCGCACGCATGCTGTATCACCAGTTCACTGAGACCGTTTGTAATTTCGGAGTCTGTCGCATAACCCAAAATCGCAGCGCCAAGGTAGCCAAGGTACCCCAAGAAATCGTTACAAAGGAATAGCACAGCCTAATGAAAGCAAACGACTAATTTTGCTCAAACTGCCACCCCATACATCTGCACGCATGAGCATGATATCCATGCATGCTTTCTTACAACCTGAAACGTTCCAGTGCTCATGCATGCACGAGGCGAATGAACTTGCGTCTAAGGGCCTGGATGCTGGGCAAAGCAGCGCGCTTTCCTAACGCCACAGGAAGCTTTGTCACATGGCTGCTATACACAGGCGCACACAAGGTTCACAAGCCCAAAATCATCCCACGAGCGAACCACTTATCTCTTTTCTACACTGCATATACTCCCACCAGCGGACGGACCTGCGTTCACACGGGGTAAGCAAAGCACCGGGCAACTGCAAAACGGCACAACTGGCTGCATAGCGCGTCCACGTATAATCGCGTCTTGTTGGAAGACCACTAAAAATGAAAAGTGCTCAGGAAGCGTAAAGCGCATAATTCATGCTTGCCTCTGCTCACCATGCTCGTGTCCTATGAACGCATCGCAGTTAGGCGCCTTTCGCAACGGAAAGAAAGTGTTCCGTCCACCTAGTAGGACAACAGAAAGGGCAAGCACACATCGCCAAAACGGAAAGAAATTCTGCACTACAGGGTCCGCTAACTTTCGCTCAACATAACCATTACACAACAAGCATGAGTACCGCGTTTTTCTTGCGCGGGCACAACGAGTACTACTGACGCAATTCGTGTTTCCCAACCCCTCGAATGCTTCACTCCCTCCGCAATTTCGGTGTCCCACAGGGCAAATACGAAAGAACAACACTGCTTCAAAGATGCTGATATCGTTTCTAATGTTAAGCTATTTCCCCCGGCCCGCCACGCATCCCGTTCTTCCGAGTATACAACAAAGCAAAGCATGGTCAGAGAAAAACATCCTCCACTGAACACACAAACGTATTCATGCCCGCCATTAGACAGCCTGACGCCCGACAGTACCCCAACGCCCGCCGGGAAGATTTCCCTAATCCTATAGCCGCACTTGGTATGTAAAATATCGCTGTCGTGGGGCCAGAATAGCCCTGCCCGCACCACAAAAAAACCAAAAGGCAGAGGATAGTGAGAGCAAAGCATTCCACAAGCTTCGCACGCTATGCCATCAATCTCCACCCACGTGCATGCGCATCACGCCTGCCACTAGACAAGCTGAACCCCAACAGTATACAAGAAATGTGTCTAGCAAATGAGTTTGCTCCTAAAGGCATACATGCTGAGCAAAACGGCCAGCCGTCGTGACGCCAGGAAAGCCTGCCCTGCACAGCATGCGCACAAGCCGCCACACAATGCTTGTCCACACGCTCACCCAACCTGCTACCCTACCTATCCGCCAAACAATGCGCACCATCCTAGCTACAGAACATAGACATCAATAAGCAATTGTGCGTATATTCATTCATCCTTGCCACTAGACAGGCTGAAATGCAGCCGTATCCAAAAGAACGCCAAGCAAACCAGTTCGGGTCTTAGCACATACTGGCTGGGCAAACAGCGAGCCGTCGTAAGGCCAGAGAGGTCTTCCCTGCGCAGCGCACGCACAAGCCGCCACGCAATGCTACCTCCACGAACCTCACCCAACCTGCTACCCTACCTATCCGCCAAACAATGCGCACTCTCCTACG